CTACAGAAAGAAACTCCCGCTTAATAAGGCAGCCTCGGCTCTCAGATGCTCAGGTGCTAAATTTACCTGATTGTATAAGGTGTGAAGCTGCAGTTATTGAAAAGAATCCACATTTTGGATACCCAAAATACCTGGCTCAGAGCTACTGCTCTGCCACTAACCACCTATGGAACCATGGGCTAACTAACTCCTAACCTCTTTGAGCCTCAGTTTCCTCATCAGTTAAATGCGGTTAATGTACCTGCCTTTAGGTCTATCATGAGGACGAAATGAGAAAGTTATAAAGTGACTAGTACAGAGCCAAACATATAGTATTTGCTTAATGAGTGATAGAGTGCTTTCTCCAAGAGCCGAGAGTTAACATCTTTTTCTTTAAAATCATATCAGACTCGCACCATATTGGGTGCAATCTTTATGCAACATCTGTACTATGCTAGTATCTGAAAATAAATGTAGAATATTAAATAAACAAATCTGCCTGGAAACCTATTATAACTGCTCATTTTAAACATTTATATATTCAGCCATCTAGAAGCATTTAAATGGTTTTAGCCATCATCCAATTAAGAATAGAAAAATTCACAGCCTTACAAATGAAGTTATTTATGCTATTCTGTCATAGCCTACAAGAAAATGAATTATGCATAGATTTATTAACAGTATGAAAACTTGTCTAAATCTATAACACTTTTTGCGTAATTTAATTTCCTATTCCAACTGCAATTTAAACATACAGTTTCCATTTAATTATTGCATTAACTGCAACTGCAACCAGAGGGGTTTTTTTTCCTTTTCTTTTCTTGCAAGGCCATCAACAGCCTAACACAGGATATAAATAATATGATTATAGTAGAGATTCCAAAACAATCTTCCAAGTCTCATATTCTAGTCTGTTTTCAATAGAGTATTTATCCCAAGATTTAAAAATTCTTAAAGCCTTGAACGAGAGAAGCAACCCTTCATAAGCAGTTAGCAAGCCTACTAGAATGTTCAGAGATACTGGTGAACTTGCAAGGACTAGAACAGAATCTAATGAATGAGAAACTCTGGAGCTCAGCAAGATCATGTTTTACAGCTCTCTGGAAAAAGTATTACTCACAAAAGGGGTATATAACAAGGGAGAAGCAGAAGCCCCATTCTAGAGATTGCTATAATTTTTTAAAAATCATCTCTCATTGAATATACAAAAAAGTTCTGATTTATTACATTTCTAATAGGGACATTCAAAAGAGTGATTTTGGAGCATTAATAAAGACTAGTTGACTCAAATCACTACATAAGGCATATCTTTGGTAATTGACATTCGCTGGTGTATTTGATTATTCAGTAAAGATTAATGTCCAGGCCCTTTGTGAGTTAAAAGTAAACTGAAAGGAAAGAATTGTTTTGTACTTGGAAAATCAGAAATAATTTAAATTCTTCTCTTTTTAAAAGAGAAAAACAGTTGACTCGTCTAAAGTGTTAATAATATAAAAATAAAGATATAATAAACTATTATAAATAAATTATATAATATAAATTACATACTTACATAATTTACATATTTATTTTACATAATTATATAAATTATATGTGATACATAAATAAATTATATAATATAAATTACATACTTACATAATTTACATATTTATTTTACATAATTATATAAATTATATGTGATACATAAATAAATTATATATAGACAGAGAGAGAAGGAAGAACAAAGGGAGGGAAGGATCGTCTTTTCTTTTTTGAGGCTTCCACATGTGACTTGTAACTTGAATCCATAGATAGATAGTCACTGCTATTTGGGGGACCTAGGAGATGGGGTTTTGCAACCTCATACAGTTATGCCAGTACATAAAACAATATTATTCTGTACCAGCCAGCTGCCAAAAATGAAAACAAAAAAAACCCGATATTATGGCTACATACACATTAACACAAATACTTGCAGTTTTATAGATAATTATTATTATCACCTTTTCATAGATAAAAAATTAACTTTCTCAAGGTCTGATTTTTCTATTACACTGAAGCTTTCTAATGCCCAAGGCACTAGAAACACCCATTATGTAGTATGGTTTCCCAAAACAGCCATCCTGGAAGTAACAAATTATGGCTTTATCTCAGTTGAAGGAATCAAGTCACCTAATTTTACAGGGTGTCCTGTGCAAAAACTAGACCCCACTGAACACTTCAACCACTGTCTTGCCTTTTGTCTCACATGCACGTCAGTGTATCTAATAGGAATAGCAAACGTCTGGCTCAAAAAAACCAAAAACCAAAAACAGCCCTTCAATCACCTCTCACTCTACTAAGACTGAGATTTTTGTTAACAGTTCCCTGGACTCTTTCCAAAAAGATCCAACAACCCAGATTTCTTTCATTACCACAGAAAACCCATTTCCAAATGCCACGAAAACATGCCACAAAACATATAGACCATAATAACATCACGTTTAAAATAATTTTGTAAAGGGCTTTCACTGAGCAGTTTTTACAACGTGTGTATTTGAGCTGTGCATCGAGAGATGTTATGAGCAGGGGGACCAGACAGTGACTCAGGCTGACATTTCTCCCCCTTGTGTATCTGGAGATGGCAAGTGTGAAAAGCCCTTTTACCCATGCTGGACTCAGTTTCCCCCCCATGGCAAAATGGGCTTTGGGAGCACAAGGAATGTATCTTAATGTGTTTATAACTTGCTTCACAGCAACTCTGTGATACTTGGATAATCATGCTGTTTTTAATCAAAACCTTAGATACGATAATAATTGATCCTGTTCATTACTGATCATAAGATGTACTAGCCCAACTGTAATGAGGATAACAAAGTGATCATTTAGTCTTTCGCTTTAACTTTCAAATACTTCTCTGATTCTACATCTTCTCCACTAGAGGGCGCATTGCTGCTAACTGTTGTGACCTCGCAGGCAGGGGACAACCTTGCACAGATGGGCTTATTTTTAAGTCAGTAGTAAAACTTAAGATAATTCACTTATACCTTCTTTTTGTTTTTCAGGCTAGAATCACAACTTAAGATTATTCTCAACTTCCTAATTTCTGTGACTCTCCCAGCACTACACATGTATAAGGGTGGCTTCTGGCCTCACCCTACTTTGCAGGAGAGTCCCCTTGGCTGTTTTGAAAGGGTCTGCTTGTCCCCCAGCACCCCTTGTCACCTTCACTCCCTCCCACGTGGTGGGGCTCCGCTGACCAGCTCCCCGATGCACCAGCAGGGAACCCCTGTCAAACTAGAGCAACTTTCCCACTCTCCCTCTCTCTTTTTTTTAAGTTTTATCAGGCCTCTCCTTCACTACCTTCTTTATGCAATAGAGCAATTCCTAGAAAGCCGTGTGGAGAAATTAATTTCTAAAAATCTAGTTGTGTGTCCCCTTTGATTAGCATCACGAGGTGAGGAATGCTTTCCCTGTTGATCTGGCAGTGATTTCTAAAGCTGGAAGCTGAGTTCTCCCCACACAGGCCCCTTCACTCACAACTCCCCTTCTCTCAGAGCCAGGCAGTTAATGATCTATAAAATGTGTGCATTCTCCAGGGAACCAGTTAATTAAATGAAAGGAGTAAATTAATCTTTCTGTTAAAAAATGTGACTTTGGATTTA